TGAAGGAGGGTCCATCTGTTTCGCAAGAGCTGGAGCCACAGAGATGTAGCTGCTGCTGGATGCAGCTGAGGCAGGAGAGCGGGGAAGAAATACCCTAGCGTCTTCCCTCCTTACACCCTGCCATCTTCTACCAGTACCTCCCATGGCCTGAAACTACCCAGAGATCAGTTAGCAAAAGAGCCCAAATATGTAGTTTCCTGTGACACAGAGCAGAGCAGGGGACACAACAAACAATGAGAGATGGTTCTAAGAGCAACCTGGCAAAATACCAGCACATTAGTCTGTGAAAGGCTTCTTTCCTTCTTGTTTAAAAAGCAATTTAAAAAAATCTCTCTACATTGAGTTTCAAATACCTCAGTACTCAGTGATACTGATTATTATTAAATTAATTCACTTTCTAGAAGTTAGACACATTTATTAAGAGTCTATATATATTTGAACAGAGGTCTAGCTTTGGTTATCATTCAATGGTTCAAAAACTATCTCTTGGCCAACCAACTTCAAGTCATCCTGAGCAAAACAGCATACAGTTTTGTTTTGATTTGTTTGTAAAGTGTGAGCTCAGATGAAATAAAACTCTTGCTCTTCCTTTAAAATCAGATTAGTGTTCATTTTCTTCTCTGACCCTTTCTCGTTACCTTTCACTCACCCCAAACCTAGGTTAGTGTTTCTTTCCTTCCTCTGCAACCTCAGCACCATGAGTTTACTAAGAGTATAATACTTATAAGAACAATTTTAACATGTTGTTGATTTGTCTATTCATTCTACATGTCTGCAAACTACTCAAGAGCAAAGACATTATGTGTGTGTGTACATACAGTATATGAATATATATTTTCATAGATATGTGTGTGGGTGTACTATGCTATCTCCATCATTAATAACTAACACCATTTCAGGGCCAGATACATAGTAAGTACTCAATACCTTTTTTAAAATAAATAAATGAATAATTGTTTAATGAAATACAATTAATAGGTTTCAGCAACTGTTTGGATGTATGGAGCTAGAAAGAGGAGTCAAAACTGTATATGAGCTGTTCAACTTTGATGATTAGGAAGAATTGTCTGTTAATACAAATAACAAATAATTGGATAAAGCCTGGTTTTAATAAAGAGCTTTGTGAATTTGGTTTTTGAAAAATTCTAATAGACAATCAGAAGTATGGAACTGGCCTCACAAAAGATGTCAGGGCTTAAAAATACATTTGAAAGTCATCTTCATAGATGGGATTCATAGAGGAATCATCATGTAGCAACTTGTTTTATCCATATATTGCTGCAACAGGGTTTTCTCTTATTCTACATGCTCTTTTAGTACTTTACTACTTCCATATAACAGGTGGAGTCTATGTCCTCTCCCCTTGAACCTGAGTAGGCCTTTGTGTTTGCCTTGACCAACAGTGTATAGAAGAAATGGCCTTGTTCTAGTAGCTTTCTGCCTTGTTCTAGTAGATTCTTCGCTCCTAGAACACAACCACCATGTTGTGAGGAAGCCCAAGTGGGCTTTGGTGAGCTCATGTGAAGAGGAACAGAGATCCCGGCCACAGTCCTTGAGCCCCAGCCAACAGCTAATACCAACTTGCCCGCCACATGAGTGAGCCGTCTTCAGTGTGGCGCTTTCAGCCCCCACTGGAGCTGCTCCAGCTGATGTGGAATAGAGCTGAGGCATGTCGCATCTACCAAGCTTTGTCTGAATTGCAGTTGTGTGAGCATCATAAATGATTTTTTAGAGTATTAAATTCTGGGGGTAATTCGTTATATAGCAAGAGATCATTGACATATATAGGTGGAAAGGATCATGAAATTTGAGTCTGAGAGGCTTGAGGCCTGAATTCAAATGCCTGGTTCTGCTATTACCAGGATTGTGGCTTTAGGCATTCTATTTATACTGTCAGAACCTCACTTTCCTCAGGTATAAAATGGAGCTAGCAATGCTTATTGCAATGAGGCTGTTATGATAAATAAAAGAAATGTTATACATTAAATGCCTAGTGCTGTGTTTAATCTCTCTGTTGATTAATAACGAGTGGTATTTCAAGAAAGTTAAAGTTTTGTGAGCTCTCAAGAAACAACATGCATGGAGTAAAACAGGTCACTTGGGGATGGATAGGGAACAAAGAGTAAAAATGAGAGTGGTGAGGGATTAGTCAGAAAAGGAGGAGGAATTAAGACTGTGTAAGACTAATTATTTCACTCAATTTTTCTTCAGAGAATTTGAAAGTCCTTAATTTGAAAATTTTTGATAAAATTTTAGTGAAATAAGGGACAGACGGATGATGAAGATAAAGGAACCACAAAGGCATTGATTCCTTCAGTGGAGAGGTGATGAGTGACACACAACAGAACAGTGTCGACAGAGCAGACAGCTGGGAGCCTGAATACTAAGGGGTAAAAAGAGAGGGAAGAGTGAGAAGAAGCAAACAGTTGGTATCTTATGTCTTAATTTCTAAGCATGTATGTTATTCTAAAGGCACGTGAGAATATCAAAATATGAAAAAGGTGTGTATCACCCACCAAAATTTCTATTTCTCCAGTATAGTAGTCCTTCTCTTTTCTCTAGAAATTTATCCAGGTACACCTTGTAACCCATCATCCACACTCTTCTGGTTCTCCCTAGAGGATTATTTATTATGTGTATTACTGCCTCTGTGGGTTATTTTTTCTTATGTGTTTTGTATTTACATTTAAATTACCATTTTCCAAAATGTTGCATCTAATTATTTGCCATAGTTGTACATGTTTGTTATACTCTGATTTCAAAATGGGAAGCAAAGTGTACAGATAAAGAACATAATGACCAGGGGATCAATGGCCATATCTAGAAATAGGAGAAGAGGTGCAAATGAAAGCATACCATTAAAAACTACAGGTTTCTCACCTTCACTTGATTATTTGATACTTTCAGTGTGCAATTAACTAGTCAGAAGATATCTACTATTGTAATCTGTTTTTGAGTTGAACACATTACATGTTATTTCACAAATAGGGAAATGGAGACGCAGAAAAGATACCTGTATGAAGTTACAATTACTCACCTTCCTACAATCATTCAGTAAAATTGCCACAAACATGTGATCATAGTAAATCCATGGTGAAAACCTAGTTTCCAAATAGACTGTCCTTGTTTTACTTTTTTGAAGACTAAATTTTCCAAGATGAGATGCAAAGTCATCCACATAAAAGGTTTTTAACATTCATTCTCAAGCATTTATTTAGCTCCCACCATGTACAAGGCTCTGCATTAGGTGGGCCTTCTAAAACATACTACATGAGGGTATGAAAGATAATTTGTGGTTTAAAAAGCCAAATTATGAAAATGTAATATTTATTAGGCACTTGTAAGATAAAAGGTACTTGCTAGAGCACCTCCTCTGCAAGCTTTTTACCTTCGTAAAATTTCTGGTTTGCTCAGGAGATATGAGCATGATGCTAATGAGAGCTGGGTCAGTAGTTTAATTCTTGACAGCTTTGTACCAGGAATGTTAATTCCTGGTACAACAACCATGTCTAGGTTGTTGTTAGTTGTAGTTAGTTCTGCAACTGAGGGAAGTGTGACTGATAGAGCTGATGGTGACCGAGCAGTCATATAGGGCCAGAAAGCGGATACAGGACATGGCAGGACATGGAGCTATCCCTGGTATGTTCCAGAGTTCTCCCCCGTGGCAGGAGACAGCAGTTGGCAAGGGGGATTGGGACATGGGATACAGGATACAGGGCTGAAATTGAAGCAGGATTCACTTGGGAAGCGTAACACTTCTTCCTCATATCTATTTCTTTCCATGTGTATGGAGTTCAACTAGCACAACAACCCTGGCCTCTCTCAACTCTTTCATTCCCTCTGCCCCAGGAGAGGTCTCTTGTCTGCCTAGTGAATTTTGGAAAAAATGGACTGAGTTTGCTGTCCTCCTCCTTTTTCTTTCTGGGAGCTAGCTGCCTGCAGGGCACGTGCCCACACTGTTTGTGACTGGTTGAATTTGTCTGACTGATCTTAGTGTTTATAAATAGGGAGACCATTTGCTTACAGATACAAGCTACATCCTCCAACCTAGATGTTATCAGTAATAGAGGTGATATTTTGGCCCTGGATATTCTTTGGCCTTATTTCTCTTTTTAAGAACTTGGGTTGGTTATTTATTGGGTTCCCTTTTTAAGACTCCTAAAGGATACACAGGGAGAACACTCTGGTTGCTGAGACCCCTGGAGTAAGTGGGTGTGTACTGACCTTTTTCTTTCTAGTACTCATAGTATTTTGTGGCATACCTTAAGTATCCATATTGCCGTTGTTTACAAAGCAAAGACTACCACATGCTTCATCTCTATGGTTCCACTGTCCAGCAAAGATCCCAGTAAATGTAAATGTGGAAAAAGATCCCCAGTAACCCCGTCTCTACTAAAAATACAAAATTAGCTGGGCGTGGTGGCTCATGCCTGTAATCCCAGCTACTTGGGAGGCTGAGGCAGGAGAATCACTTGAACCCGAGAGGCAGAGGTTGTGGTAAGCTGAGATCGCGCCATTGCACTCCAGCCTGGGCAACAAGAGCAAAACTTTGTCTCAAAAAAAAAAAGGAAAAAAAAAAATCCCCAGTATGGCAACCAGGAATCCAAGCTGAGAGGCCCAAATCAAAGGGCACAGAAATAATCAAATGCGGGAGATCATAGGAGAGGGACTGCATTTCTGAGCACCACACCTAAACATTCAGAAGCACCAGTTTGTCAGAACTAGCTCAGCAACGCTGACATGCTGCACAAGATTCAGGGAGCCGAATGGGTCAGCTCACTAAGGCAGAATTGCTCTGATATTGCTTGGGCAGAGTGTGACTGCTCTTCAAACTGAAAAGGCCTGGAAACATTTTTGGGTGACCTCAAAATTAAAGTTCAGAATCCTGGGAATTCTTATGTCCCCAAACTACATGTAAACTTTTAGTTCTCTGTTAAGAAACATGTGTGTTTGAGCAAGTAAAGGGTGGTGCATCTTCCAAACATTGCTCAAGACAACTATTAGGGTTTGTGGCTTAATTTTATTAAGATGTCAGCAAAGGTGTAGAAACACAGAACCGAGTTTGGCCCTTTTAGTTCATCACTGAAGGAGTAAATATTTTTGTCTTCTTTCATCCCCACACTGCTCCCTCCCTTTTGAGCTGGACTGATGTGGATCATGAAGAAACTTGCCTTCCGTTTTTGAGAAAATGACGTCTGAGTGAGGTGGGTCTTAAGAAGCCCTCATGAAATTCAAGATGTTTTGAATGGCGTCTGAGCTCCAGGCCAGCCTCCTGAAATCATATTATCTGAAGTCCCTTGGAGTTTCTTTCCTAAGGACAACAACAACAGTCTATTTATTGGTTTCAGTTGCTATGAAGTGACCATCCTGCAGAAGTGAGGCTGTTGCCCTTAGCTACACATTTCTTTGTGGGAATAATTTTGAATCACACAGTACCAAATCAGCAGCTGGGCAAGGCACAGACCCTGATGAAATATTTTCCTAGTGTTAGCCTCCTTTTATAAGACAGGTTGTGGCTAATTCAGCTTAGAAGTGATACACGTCCTTTTTCAATCAAAGAAAAGGGCTGACTTTATTTTAACACTATCCCCTTCCCTCTCTAGTAGAGATTTGCTTATTTTTATTCTGCCTTCCTGAGGTGTGTTAGTTAAAACAATAATCCAGATCTCCGGAAGAATTTTTTTTCCTGATCATACCCACCTTACATGATTATTGAAAGGATTATAGGGGATAATGTACAGAGCACACTTAAGCAATGATAGGCAGTGCAATTATAAATGTGGTTGTTGTTGTTATTCTTATCCCAGAGAAGAGAAAGCTTGAGGAGGCTGGTTTCTGTTTTCAAATCATGAGTGTTTTTGTTTTATCCCCTCTCCTCTCATCTCACCCCATGCCATCCCATCTCATTCCATTGGTTCCATAGATAATTAATATCCATACTAAGTGTTGAGTACATTTCTATTTTGAATTTCATTTGCTATCTTCTGGTACTGTTAACTCTATGATCTCTCTTTTATTTTGTATTTCACCTTCCATTTTGAGAGTAATCTGCAAGTTTTGATATTTACTTTCAACATAGATGCACTCAGTGTAATCAACTTTCCATTATATGCCAACAAGATGCTTGCGGTGGGGGGGATGTCTTTATGTATCCTGTACTCTGAATCCATTTGCAGTCTTTTGTCTCATTTTCTTAAAGCAGTTTCCAAATGCATTCTATGTCTGCTGATGTTTGAAAAGGCTGTAAAATTAAAGCTAGGCAATTATGAATACTATGAAAAAGGTTTTGACAACTTTTGGTGGCATTTAATTCAAGTTAAACTCCTCTCATTCAAAATAATAAGCATAATGTTACTTATTATGTAAATGAGGTGGCAAGGCAGATGTTTTTCTTCCTGGTGCATTCACTGGGGATTAATACATACAAAAGCTGAGAAGGAGGGGCTGGTGTGTAACCTGGGAACTCAAATAAGGGTTGAGCAAGAGGAAAGATGATTACTCTTGAGCTGTGCTGTTCAATAGTGGAGCCAATAACCACATAAGGCAATTTAAATTTAAATCGATTAAAATGAAATAAAATTAAAATTTAGTTTCTCAGTCATATTAGCCAATTCATTTGTTCAATAGCCACATATGGCTGGTGGCTACTTATTGAAGAGCTCAGATAAAGACCATTTCTATCACTGTAGAAAGTTCTACTGGACAGGGGTGCTAAACCTAGAAGGATTGAAACAAAGGGAAGGATGCTTGTAGATTCCTCTACAATTGGAACTTTACCCATAAGAGTTCCACAAGCTTCTCAGAATGGATGTACATCCACGAAGAGCCAAGAGATGTAACAGGTAGGATTAAGTGGCTGTTATTTTTTTTGTATATTACGGGGATACACTACAGCTGTGCTTCTCAAACTTTAAATGTATATACATATCACATGGGGATCCTAATGTGCAAACACTGATTCAGTAGGTCTGGGGTGGGGCCTGAGAGTCAGCATTCATAAACAGCTCCTAGGTGATAGTGATGAGCACCCAGGTGATGGTCTGTAAATTGCACTTTGGGTAGCAACGTGCTAAAGCCCTTAACAGCAGAGACTTGATTTACAGCAACATCCCTGAAGATGGTTAACCAATCTGACACAGAAATCTTTAATCACTGCAGGCTGGTGCCAGGGTACATCTCATAGCCACTTAAAATTGAATCATTTCAAATCAAAGTCCTGCTGGAGAAAGCAGAAGCTGCTGTCATGTTACCAAGAAGGAAAAATGGCTCATCGGAAAATACTGAATACACTAATTTGAATCTATGACAATTGGGATAGTACTCTACCTTTCTAGGCCTCCATTTTTGCAGATTAAGAACTTTTTTTAAAAAAACACTAGCATAGAAGAAACTGCTGCTCCATGGAAACACTGATTTGCATACATAAAAATTCAGTCTATAGACATCCTTCTCAACCTTGTCTGCACAATTGGAATAACCGGGGGGAACTTTTAAACATTAACATGTTAGATTTCACCCTCAGATATTTTAATTTAATTGATTGTGGGGGAGGAAATCAGTGTTTTTTGAACACTCCCCAGGTGATTCTCACATGCAGTTGCAGAGAATCTTTGATCATAGCAGTGGATCTGAAACTTAAGCATGCATCAAAATCATGCCTTGTGAAAACATGGATTGCTGGATCTCACCTCTAGAGTTTCTGATTTGGTAAATCTGGGATGGACATTAGAGTGTGCATTTTCAGCAAATTCCCAGGTGCTACTGCTGCTGGTTTGGGGCTCTCACTTGGAGAATCACTCACTGACTTAAAGCACTGTTTCTCAATCTTGGCTACACATTGTAATCACCTGGAGAGGTTTAAAAACTACTTGTGCTTAGATCCCACCCCAAATATTCTGATTTAATTTTTCTGGGGCCTAGTAGTCTGGGCATTGAAGATTTTAAAAAGTTTCCCACATGATTAAAACTTGAGAAACATTCATGGTAATAAAGCAAACCCATTAGGTCTGGGGACTAGAAGCACTGGCTTTACCTGAATGTTTGTTAGAAATTTAGAGTCTCAGAGCCAAACCCAGACCTGCTGAATCATCACCTGCGTTCTGACAACATTTTCCGGGTGACTTCATATACATGAAAGGTGAGAAGTACTACGCTAGATAGCCTTTTAAAGTAACAATTTGTTATCTGTGTGATTTAAAGAAATTCTTGTAATAATTTTTTATAGTTCCTAGAAATTTTGGGGCACATAATTTGGTCCAAACTCACTCCAAATTATTGTACTGTATTAGATTGCCACTGCACAGACAAGCACTTGTCAGTTTCTGTTTGCCTTGCAACCGAAGACGTTAGTTATCCCAGCAGAAAGAAACTGTGGACTTTCAAGTCTCAAGTAGAAAGAAGGTCAAGAATAACCAAGTCTTTAAGGAACTGGTTCCACATATTTTCATAAAGTTTATTATTCAAGATTAAGTGCTTTTTAGGTTAATGCCTTTTGACTTTAGAAAACTGTATACTTTTATTACCAGAGATACAATATAGATAATTTTTTTTTTTTTTTTTTCTTTTTTGGAGACCAAGTCTTGCTCTTGTTCCCCAGGCTGGAGTGCAATGGCGCCATCTTGGCTCACTGCAATCTCCGCCTCCCAGGTCCAAGCAATTCTCCTGCCTGGGCCACCCAGCAGCTGGGATTACAGGCGCCTGCCACCACGCGCAGCTAGTGTTTCCATTTTTTTAGTTGAGATGGGGTTTCACCACGTTGGCCAGGCTAGTCTGGAACTCCTGACCTCAGGTGATCCACCCACCTCCGCCTCCCAGAGTGCTAGGATTACAGGCATAAGCCACCATGCTGGCCGATAAATTCTTATTTTATGAAACTTTTCATTATGCATCACTAAGATCCTGGAGGGTGAGAGGTCGTGGGGAATATAATGTCTTAAAAAAAATATTTCTAAATTGTGTTTTCCTAGTAAGCCTTTCTTGGTAGTATTTCAGGGAAATAATGAGTGCCCAGAGATGATTATAATGTAGAAAGACTAACCACGTGATGTGCCAGAGCACTGGCTCTTAAGCTTAAATGTTGTAGGAATCACTTGCTGAATGTAGATTCTGCTTCAGTAGGTCTAGGGTAGGGCCCAAAACTTTGCATTTCTAACAAACTCCCAGATGTTGGGAAGATTCTGGTTCACGGATCATACTCAGTAGCAAGGAGTTAGAGTGACTACACTGCCAGGACACCTTTTTGTAAAGTCCCATTTCAGTGACTCAAGAAATCAAGAGGTCTGGTATAAATAGGAAGAAGGGTGATGTTGTTGAAAGTGCTGATTTACTAATTTAAATCATTTGGGAAGAGAAAGTCAAAGATCAAAATTATTCACAGACCTATCATTAATGGAAAGTTAATTGAGAAATGAAGAGTCATTTAAGGCAACTGCAAAATAGTAACACAAATACCTCAGATGACTAGTAGGGCAAAATTTTCAAAATGTTGCAAGCTGTCTGCATGCTTGAAGTAGCAATTTACATGCATAATTAGGTGCAATCAACAGTTTAGAAATGTAATATATTTTCCGAGTCCATATTTACTTGTGACAGATGCTTAAAAAAACTACATCCCCCAAAAATAGAGGGGCAGAAGGAGAAATATTTGCATTTAACAATGAGAGTCTTTAAAAGGACATGTCTAAATTTAGAACAAATTTAATTGAAGTATTGTATCTTTATTTTGATGTAATCTTCATTTAAGCCTTGAAAGAAGTTCACAAACATATTTTGGAAGTAGCAAGCATGGAAGAATAATAACTTACCAGTCAGCTATTCCTGCTGCTGTCTGAACTGACGTATGATTTTTATTGCTACACTGTAGAAAAACAAAACAAAAAAAAAATCTGACACATTCAAACCTTTATTGCACAAAATATTATTGACTTTCTTCCTGTCTTCAGAAGGGGTTTCATTCTCTAAAGAGACCAAATATCTTTTAGGAAATTTAAATAAAGGTAATTTAAATTGGTAGCTTCTTTTTTGTAAATCAAGGTCTTCAGATGAACACTCAGTGTGAACTTGTATCATCTTACTGTTCTCAGTATAACAATGTTAGGTGCTCACTATGCACTAAGACCCTCTGCTAAGCACATTACACATATAATCTGATTTACCATTATAAACCTTCTCTAATGATTGTTGGTTTATTACCAGGTACTGGGGAGGAGCCCACTCTATTTTCAACAATTCCCAATTGAGAAAATGAACTTGAAATCTGATTTTTAGAAAATGTGAAGAAAAAGAGAATGGGTAATTTGGTCCCTAAACTTTTTCTTCTTTTTCAAAAGCTTCTTCACATTGCATTACCCAGATTGGTTGTCTACACTGATGAAAGTGGCAATTAATTTCTGTCATACATGCAGAGTCAGATTAAAAGATAGCAATGAGGAATACAACCTAATGATGTGTTCTTGTGTAACTGCACCTATGGGGCAGTGTGTAAAATGTTGTGTTTAAGTTAATGCAAAGCATTCATGGGATGAGCAATGCAATTTTCCAGTTTCATCAAGCAAGTGTGATCTGTGATATATGTTAGGGGGAAAAAAGCCATCCTCTGCTAAGAAACGCATGAATAGTTCATTAATCTGCTGATCCATTTGGGAGCATTATGGAACTCAAAGCCCAGAACAATGGGCTCTATTTAATATTGAACAGGTTCTTGATAACCCGCCATTTCTCTCCAGAGTCGCTTGAAGGTCCCTCCTGGACGTGCAGAGTTGCAGTGGCAGTTCCCGTGAAGTTGTAAGCTACTACCCAGGATCAAGTGGTGTTAAACTGAGAAGTCATCCTGATCACCTGACTAGTGGTGAACCCCGATTTAAGAATTTCCAAGTCTACCCTCGCCATCTCTAAATGTACAGACGCACCGCACTCCCTGCCCTGGGGTCACCACCGAAGCCTCCTGGTGGAGCCCTGCCCTGCTGAGGACGCTCTTCCAGCACAGAACTCACCACCAAAAAGAGACGGCGCCCAGCTGGCGCCCGCCCCGGGCACATTGCAGTAAATGCCTGGCAGCGACTTCTCGCTTCTCCTTCCTCCTACCCCATCGACCCTCTGCTGCCGACCTTTACGCCAAACTCCGGCGCGCCGCGAGACTCGCGTCCTCGCTGTCCCCGAGGGGCCCCACCCCTTCCCGGTTCTAACCTGCGACCTGGCCAGAGGCAAGGGTAGGTCGACTTCCTGCCCGGAATTTGCCGTTGGCTTCTCCTTCTCTACTCCAGTTCTCTAGTGCAGGGCTGTGCGGCGCGGAGCCGCCAGCGGCAGAACAGACCCCGGAGCGGAGCTCTGGGATACACACGCGCAGCGCGGAGGGACTGACCCCGGAGGCGCGCTCGGCCGGGGGAGGGAGGGGACCAGGGCCAGAGCGGAGGCGAGGGTCACCTGGGGTTGGGGGTGGGCGCACCAGCTCTCCGCACGCTCCTCTCTTTCTAGTCCTCGCCGCCACCACCTCGCACAGGTCGGAGATCCCTCCTTTCCTTGGCTCCTTTGCGTTGGGGAGGGGATAAGGCTGAGGGGTCGGCGCCTGGTCAGCGGGCGGGGACAGTAGATTTCACTTGCACCTGACAATCCCTATTCTTGCCAGTTTAGCCGGGCAAATCCTGGCGACCAGGTTTGTTCTTCCAGCAACTTTGTTCAGAAGGTTGGTAGGGAGGGGAAACGCCGAGGGGCCCCAAGAGACGCCGGAGCGTGGGCCGGGCTGGAGAGCAAGTCCCCAAGCGGCCCTGAGGCTGGGAGCGCGGCTGGGAGGCGCCGCCGCCGCCGGGATGCGCTCTGCTTAGCGGGACTGCCAGGGGCGCCTGAAGGCCAGCGCTCCAAGGACACGCGGCCACCCGCTCCTCGCGCTCCCCGGCCCAGACGCCGCCAGGGCCGGAGCCGAGCAGGCGAGCGGAGCTGCGGGGAGCGCGGGTGAAGGGTGGCAGGAGGGAGGGCGCGCGGGAGGCGGCCCCTCCTCGGCGAGCCATGCGTGCCACGGGCAGCTGAGGAGCTGCCGGGCGCCGCTGCCAAGTCTCCACTCCGCTTTTGTCTTGCCCTCCAGTGAATGGGAAGATGGAGATGGATGTTGAGGGAGTTTCTCCGCGCCCGGAGCCCATCCCCCGCTCCCAGGGGGCTGGCGGAGCCTGCCAGGCGCCGCCACAGCCGCCCCAGCCCCAGCCGCCGCCGCAGCAGCTGGCTCAGGATGAACTGCCCGGCGAGAGTGCAGGCGCTGAGGACAGCGACGATCCCGAGACGAGACCCAACGGCGAGAAAGGAGAGAGCAAGGTAGGTCCACAGTGTTGGCGCTGTGCTACCTTTTGAACAAAACCAAGGAGTTGCTGTCGTGGCTGTCACTTTAACCCCTCCGCTCCCCAACCCTCTTCCCTCGTTTGTGTGGGGGTGGGGGTGGCAGATGTGAAGAAGGCTTAAGATTTAAGGGAATCCATGGGCGATAGTGACTTTCCGAACTGGAGGGTATGTGTAGAAGTCTGTCCTGGTTTCAGTGTTCAGCGGTGTGTGCAGAGAAAAGTCTGCTGGTACATGCGGTGTGATGCTCTGGGCGAGCACAGCACCTCAGTAAAGCAGTGATGAGACCTTTGCTTGCCCTCGCAGTTTAACTGAGGCTTATTTGGATGATATAGGTCTAGGAGAAACAGTTCTTTAGGAGCTGCCAAGTGGCTTCTGAGACTCCTTGGAGGGTGGTGACATCAACCTAAAGAAAACAATGGGAGCAAAGTTTGGCTCATTTGCAGAATGGAGTGCCCTGCTTAACCCTGCTCTAAGCTGGAGGTCCTCCTCTTGACCTGGCATCCTCCTTCTAGGAGGGCAGAGATCAAGTGCCTGGCAGCAGATGAGCCCTCCAAATCTTTTGCAGCCCTGCTGTGTCATTGTAGACCAGGGGATAGCTGCTACTTGCTGTGGAAAGAGGAGTTCTTCAGGTAATTTGATTCTAGTAAGAAATGGCTTGAATGTTATTTTCTGGTGCTGATGTCTCTTCCGCTGAGAAAATTGTAAAGTAGGGGAAATGGCATAGAAAATACTGCCTTGGTAGTATTAGTAGGGTGTGTTTATTACAGCTTTGTCTCTGAGCAGTCTTCCTTCACACACTCGGAGTTTAGTTTTGTAGAAGCTAATGTTGCTTTGTTTTATCTGTATAAAGTGTACACTGTATATTTGTTAATATATTTTGAAACTGGCTGGTAATATTGGGGAAAAGTTGGTTCAACAAATCAGACTATTGGAAGCAAATGAGCCAGTCAATCTACTTTCTCACTTCTGCTCACTTAAGGAAGTGTGCAGGAAAATGGGCATTTCTGCTAGTTAGAAAGGAATTGTGTGTCATGAAGTGCCCCTTAATGGAGATTGCCTTGGTTTCTGTTAGAGCTTTCCTAAGATACTAGTGGATTAAATAAATACTGGAAACATGTCGGGATCACATTGAATTGCTGTTCTGTGTTTGGAGACAGGCTCATTTAACAAGTTCAGATTTGCAAATGTTCAGAATTGTTTTGCATTTTGAAACTGAGCTAAGAATCAAAATTGTTGTTTATCTTCCAAAATCAATATTGTTATTTAAATGGAAGTTTACCAAGGAACTAGAATTTGAACACACTCTAGATGCGACCGGGGTGCCTTACAAATGCATACAAGATTTACATTGTGAAAACTATGATGAATTTTAATATTTTGATATCCTCAGCTTTCTAGTCGCTCTTGATTTCATGAATATTTAATTCTGTCATGACTGCATATTTACTACTTTAAATGACTGTCTGCGCTCAGTTTTATGAAATAACCATAACTGAGCATCAATTACCTAATTGAACTTTAAGCCTCTTTTGCAAAATAGGTGTGGAGAATAATTAAAATATACAGCCAGTACTGCCATTTCCATATTGTTGATTCATATGCCCTGAGCATGAGAAATTCCTGCCATCAGCAAAAATCTGTGCTTATTTGTTTCCCTTTGATGCACCATGCAGACTGTCTAACGTTCTACCAGTTGTGAGGAATAAGGAAGGCAATGCACTAGAAATATTACAGCAGGTTAAAAGAGGACTGAAAGCGGGTTGATTACATTTAGTTAATTAGCATGTTCAGATAATTGAGTATTCTGATGATGCGATTTGCTTCGTGTTTGTCTGCGATTTCTTGAGGTGGAAACAAAATACTACTTTTTTTCCCTCCAGGTGTTTGTCTTAAAAAATTATGTTGCATCCTTCTCTTAACCTAGATAGCAGCTGTGTTAACCCTTTGCTTGCCTCTGATACTGTCCTACTGGTTCTTTTGAGTCTGAGGATGGTTGCTGTGTTTCAGACTTTAATAAGTGCTCTTGTCTTTGATGGATACTAAGGCAAGTTATAAATTGATTTTTCTTAGAAAATTCATATTTCATTAGTAGGAAGTCCTTTGGATGTCTGACCAAATTATTCTATTAAAATATAAATAGAAGACAAACTGGTATAAAGTGAAATGGGGTTGTATCAAGCTGTTTGGGGTGAGGTGGAGGAGTTTATCACAGTATGGTTTTCAAACAGTAATATACAAACATATTGTACCAGATGATTATGTTTTCTTTTCATTAATGAGAGCAATAAAATACAAATTTCAAAAACTGAATTATTGACTTTAACTTTACCTTAAGGGTATTATAAATAAGATGTGAGTGGATATACCCCTTGAAAATAAAGTATCAGGGGCTAATGGCATTTTTTTTTTAAGACTCTGATTTAGGGCCATGATTTATTCTCATATGAATTTGTCTCAGTTGTCTTATTGGAAAAGAAATCAGAGCTTAGCGCCAGATCAGCTTGTCTCCTAGATTTCAGGTTTGTGGTCATATGTCCTCAGAAAGTCTATGAAATAGGAAGAGAGGTTAGAAAACTGGATCAGTCAAGGGATTTTTTACGCCTGAGTTTCATGATGTGACTGGTGCTTTCTGTCCTAGAATAATGTTTCCTGATTCCTCTCCAGCAAATACTCTTCAAAGAAATATTAAAGCAGCTGCATATTATATTGCTTTGATTCCATGAATTAGGGAGGAAACAGACCTGAAATAGACCATCTATTCTTCCTCTGTGCTTTAAGGCAGGTTTATATTAAACCCTTACAAAAAGCAGCCTCTTCTCTTTGCAATGACATCCAAAGATAATATTGTAATCACCTTTGGTGACCTAGTGAGATATTTCCTTCTGGTCTTAGCAAAGAAGATTAAATGCTCATGGTCCTTAAGTAAGAGACCTTCAAATTCTTGAAAGTGCTCTTGATTCTGGGTTTGATCATCCTCAGAACTTTCTTAGAAAGTTTTTTGCAGGCTCTAAATATTTCATCCTTTCATTGCTTTTTAAAATTCTTCTGAAATGCTTTGGTTATACCAAATAACTCTTGGATAGGTGTTTCTGAAACTTTCTTTGGAAAAGTTAAAGAAAAGTTTCTTGTGTCGAGGACCTACACTCCAGTGTCTTATTCCTTCTGTATTATAAACTTACTTATGCAAATGTGGAAATTCTTCCCCTGATCTGATCCTAAATGCTAAATAAAAATGATTATTGGCTTCCTTCAGGTTCATCTCATTCATGAATATGTGAATGGTGCTTTCTGTCCTCCCTTTTACTTCCTTCCTCACACCCTACACCAGCTTCACCTCCCCTCTGCCAATACCATTTACTACAGTGTTTTATATGAAGATATATTTATGGCTCAGATGTAAAGCATTGTGATCAAACTCTCTTTTTTGCTCAGCTCTGATTAAATCCTTGGTTTGCAAGATGTGTTATTCCCATGGCTTTGGATTAGAGGAACTCTGTACTGTTGCTACCAATGATACATCATTGATGAAAATGACTCAATTCTCACTTCAACTGCATTCCATCAGTAACGCTGTTCTAACAGTCATTCTTTAGGAGCATACTGTAGGGACTCTTATCAAGAATGTCATTACATTTTTGAAAGCCTTTTATTTTGGAAATAAATTTACATTTATAAAAGAGATGCAAAGATATATCCTTTGCCCAGTCTCCTCTAATATTAACATCCTACATAATCAAGGTATGTTTATTACAATAAAGAGATGAACATTTGTATGAAACTACTAGTTAACTTGTGTAGTAAAACTTTTTTTGAGTGAATGTATAACATATAGTTGCTTTCCATTCTATTCTTTCAGTCTTTAAGGTGGTCTTTATACCTGAAAGGCTCTGTGAGAGGGTATTTCAGAGTCAAATTTAAGTTCTGTGTGACTCTCTCTCCCTTTTATCTGTTGAGTAGGAGCAGCTTGCAAAGTACAAATTTGGAGGTCCCTGAAGTTCT